AGTTGAGCATTCCAAGTTAAACCGCAGTCAAACAAGATTCCTAAGTACTTTACAGATTCAACATATACTAAAGGAACACACTTGCAAGATACACAGTTTGAGTTGTGTAAAAAGAAAGGGAAATCAAGACACACATATTTAAGAGGATTATGAAAACAAATAAGCTTAGTCTTGTTTACGTTAACGTCCAGAAGATTTCGTTGAAAGCAATCCATGACTACAGTCGCAGCGCATTGCAGTGAGCGGGCAGCATCTTCGAAGTTAATATGTCGAGTAACAATTACAGTATCATCCGCGCATTGATAAAGTTTGGCTTGGGAAAGAAAAGTAGAAATGTCATTAACAAACAAATTAAATAGGAGAGGAGATAGGATTGAGCCTTGTGGTACGCCTGCCCTTAATGTTGTTCGCGGGCTCCGTGCCCCAGCTGCAATTACAAGTTGTGAGCGATCTGATAGGTAGTTTGAAAGAAAAGAGAAAAACGGACCACGAAATCCGTAGCTATAAAGCTTCTTCAGAAGGATTGAATGGCTAACGGTATCAAAAGCTTTAGATATATCTAAAAAGAGAGCACAGCAAACAAGATGTTTTTCAAAACCAGAAAATAATAAATCGGCAAAATCTTCAAGCAATGGCTGGGTTCCCCTTCCTTGAACAAAACCAAACTGACTCGGTGCAATTACATCATGTAAATCTAGAAATGATGTCATAGTATGGAATACATGTTTTTCAAGAAGTTGTGCAATAATTGGCAAAATAGAAATTGGGCGGTAATTTTCAATCTTACTCCCTGCGCCGCCTTTGAACAAGGGCCGTACTATAGCGGTCTTTAGTTCGTCTGGAATAATGCAACTCGTAATAAAGCCGTTCAACATATGAAGTAGTACATGCTTAATAACCTCATCATTTCTACGAAGATCAGTAACTCGAATGCCGTCGATGCCTGGTGATTTTGATGGTTTGAAACTGAATAACAATGAAGAGAGATCTGATTCTATCATAGGCGGAAGGAAAGCGGAGGCCGTTACAACATTTTCGAAAGTCATGAAAGAATGTCGTGTCGTACCTGAAAAGGTCGCAAGAAAACTGTTAAAATCCCTATATAATACAAAACACAAAAATAATAATAATAATAATAATAATGTATTTTATTTCCCATTCTGGTTGGTACACAAAGGGAGGACGTCAGGACAAAAAGCTGCGGTTGCAGCTTGACGAGGTCCTGGCGCCCTAACACACTTTGGCGGGAAAGCAGCATCATAAACACAACGAAAACAAACACAAAAATGGGCACTAAAACACAATCACGAGAATTCACATTGTTGCACTCAGCTTGAATGCATCAAAACAAATATTTTTAAAGTAGAAACAAGTTTCACCACAGATACAAAAACTCCAGGCACTAAAGGTAAAAATTATGTTGTCTGTAATATGATTTTTGCCAACATCCGATTTGATGTCCCATAGATGCTGATACCATTGGCTTCCAGTTTATTAGGTAAAGATGGTAATGCGTATTTTAATGATGTAAAGCCGTAATTCGTACGGCGTATTGAAACGCTCAAAATTTCGCCATGACGTGTGACATATTTATGGCCTAGTTTTGCTAAGCCCGGCAGTGCGAAAAGGAATGAAATATTATGTTTTAATGCCATATTACACATCACCAGCAGACGAAATTGGTACAAGTGGTCAATAGGAATGACGTTATGTGTAAGAAAGAGCTCCCGAGAGGGGTGCAAGAAGGGTACATTTGCGATAATTCGAAGAACCCTCTTTTGGGTTAGCAGTAGTTTTGCTATATTTTTGTATCGTTGTTTGGCCCCAAACTAAATGGAAGCGAAATTAGAGCAGAGAAAATTAGGTTTTGGCGTGAGTTATATTGAAGGAGGCAGAAATTTAATACAGGTAATACCAGGACTGGTGTATGCAGATAACATATTACTCATGGCACGGTCGGTGCCGAAAGCGCGCGATATGTGACGACATCGTGACGTTTTTGGTCCTGGCTTTATTACTAATCAGAGCCGCTAAAATATTTTTTGTAGTCGAAATACAAGATATAAATGGCGCGAACCGTTTCAATTATTTATGAAAGTAGTTTTTGTTCAGTATTTTAGATCAGAAAAGAAACACATGCAGTTTATAAAGTACGGAAACAAGAAATGACCCATCGATATACCCGCCACCAAGCGGTGGAAAAGGTGGCGCATACTAAAAAGGGGTAGTAGGACCAGGCACCAACGAGCGGCGAGCGTAGAAAGGTCCCGGATGTGCGCGGCAGCGCTGCGGTCGTATGGGCTAGAGGATCCGACCGGTTCCGAGCGTTCTGAAGGCCTTCGGCGAGCAGGTTTGGCTTGCGGTTTGGCCGTTTGGCGGTATACGGCAGCGCGAAGTGGCTCCCGTTCTGAACTGATCTTTACCCCGTGTTGGCTGTCGTTTGTGGCCAATGAAGTGTCATGCCAAATAAGTGTTTAATCGCGCAGCAAATACAATGCCAGCCACCCTGGCCTCCCGCTTCATCCAGCCTATCAGCACATGCTTTAGTGGCGTTCTCTGGAGCCGTCGACACAGAGCGCGGCAGCCGTGAGCGCTCGCTGAACACACCATACCCCTTCTCTAGTTCACGGCACTCAAGCCACGTCCGAGGGCGTCGTGAAGGGGGTTATGTTTTGCTTGTCTTTGTAATTTTAATTTGCCTATAACTTCTAAATAAAGCGAAATTCTAGAAAAGAAAAGTTTCTTTGAGTTACTACGTTCAGCGCGCTCACGTTCGGTGCAAATTAAAAACCAGTCAAAGAGTCGTTGCAGGGCCCCTTAATACTGAACCGAAATTTCGAGCTCACTAAACAAGGCCAGGCGGATAGGCGGGAAGCTGCAAAAACCAAAAAATTTGACTCATACGGCGATATATCTAACGGATCGCCGTATTTTTCGGGAAAGAAGTGCGCGACTGAACCCGGCCGACGAGGCCGACGAGACAAGGAACGTCACGATTCCCATTCTCTCTCCTCCTCGCTACATCCCGTCAAGCTGGTGAACCGAAGCAAGGAGGAGAGAAGCGAGGCCGCTTCTCCTTATTCTCAAATTCTCCCGGAGGACCGTTACGTCAAAGAACTCGCTTAATCGTGCCCTTCTTTTTCAAAAGTACGGCCATCCGTTTGAGATATAGATGTACAAGTGATGTTTTGGAGTTCGTAGCGTCCGGTTCAACACTTCTGCAGCCTTACTTTGCGAAATCCGAATTTCGGTTCAGTATCCCTTTAATGGCATCTGTTACACAGACAACTGACAATGGAAGGTGGTTCCACGTAATTGTTTTTTTTTTTCTTCTTTTCTTGGGGGGGGGGGGGGGGGGGGATGAACGAATTATAAAGAAGTTGTGGTTGTACAAACAGGTAGACCAATTTTGTGTTGGTGATCGACGCGTGGCGAGACATATGAGGGAGGAGTCAGTAATTTATGACGAGGATTGTGATAATAAATTTTATGAAACAGACAAAGACGGGATAGCTCACGACGTGTGGAAAGGTTAGGTAGGCTAAAAAAAGATTTCACGGATGCTGCGCTTGCAGTGCGGTGATAATTCGTAAGAATATAGCGAACAGGGTAAGTCAGTGCTGCGATCCCAAATAGAAGAGGCGTATTCTAATTTAAGGCGGACAAGGGTTTTACAAAGTAGTAGCTTGAGAGACATAGGTACAGATCGAAAATTACGTTTGAGGAAGCCAAGCATGCGGTTAGCATTGCTAGTTATGTAGCGAATATGAGGCTCCTAAGATAAGTTCGATGGGATATGGATTCCTAAGTACTTATACGATGATGCACGCTGCAACAAAACACTGTTAAGATAGCAGGAAGAAGGGTGCGAGTTAAGTCGAGAAACAGTCACTACTTTACATTTGTTGATGTTAAGCTGCATATTCCATTTGTTACACCAATTAGAAATACAATCAAGGTCTGACTGAAGAATAGCAACATCATAGGTGTTGGTCATTTCACGGTAAAGAACGTTATCATCTGCAAATAAACTAATAGAGGACGAAACGCATGAAGGTAAGTCGTTGATAAAAATAAGGAAGAGCAGGGGACCTAAAACCGAGCCTTGAGGGACACCTGACGTCACGAGAGCTAGACTTAAAGGGACACTGACAGGGTATTTATGCTCGCCGAGGTTTTTAGTTGTACGTGACATATGAGAGCTCAACTACCCAGAACAGAATTTGCGGCTCGAAATTCGGTTTCTTTCCGCCCGAAAACCGCCGATCAAGAACTGGCCGGTTCGAGTCTCGCTCACTCTGTTTTTCGCGGTCACGGGCCGTTTTCTAAGGTATCGATGCGACCACCAAATTTAATCAAAGTCGTGGGTCACTGAAGGCACACACTCAATATTAAAAATAGAAAAAAAATATGAAACCCATTTTTTGTGGCTTCTAAAAAGCTGTAAATTTGATGATTGAAAAAAAAAGTTCCACAGACAACCGGAAGCATTCTGTGCGTTCGTCGTTTCGCGTATCGTGGGACTCGCGGGGACGGCGATGGCAGCGGACGACGGGCGTGGGACCTCTATTTCAGAACTGTCGTTCGCGGTACCGGCGAATTCTGTCTACCGTTAAAAGAGAAATTTGGGACTGATCAAAAGAATTGGTATTCATCCCGTACGACACGCCCGGCCACCAAGCCGATTTGCACGAAGACGTCGCCGAGCCGTCGCTCCCTTCTCGTGGCTGAAGACATCGCTCGCGCAAACGTCAAGCACGACGTGTCTACTTCGAAGTGAATATGCATGCGTACGATTTCTTTACTAGGTGCGAATGTCCCCAAAGCGTGGTGCTTCCCGACTTCGACCCGGGAGTGCTTTTGCTATAAAAAAAATCGACAGCAAACTTTCCAACTTACAGTTTACCGGCTGAATTATTACTAAGGAAAGAGATCCGCCAGAAAAGAGATACCCCAGTAGCTGGCCTGCCTCCGTGGCGGGATCGAGCGCGCGCGCCGAACGTGCAAGACGTTCGAAACATGAGCTCCGTGGAAGCGTCTGCAACGGCCCTTGCTGGCCGCGGTTCTAATCACTCCGGTGAATCGACGAACGATGACTATAAAATTGTTTTACCACAGATGCCTACAGGAATTACGAGTGAAACATCGGTGCTTCTGCATTGCGATTTGAAAGGGCGCCCCTACCGTATCCAGGATTTTCGACAAGAGATGGCCAGGTGCGGCGTACTCGGCGACATCGCAGCACTTGGTGCGTACCAAATGAATCATGTTTGGATGGCTACCCTTCGAACGGCAGAAGCAAAGAGACGACTCGTGGACGCCAAGGAACTGCAGGTGAAGGGTCTTCGGTGCCTCGTCGTGGATCCCAGCATCACGGAGGTACGGCTTCGTCTCCACTGGATCCCGTATGATGTGCCGGACGACGTTGTGCGTAAGGAATTGGAGCCGTATGGCAAGGTCCTGGAAGTGAGCCGGGAGAAGTGGAATGTTGAAGGCTTCCAAGGTATCGAATCAACGACAAGGTGTGCGCGGATGACACTGAACGAAGGCGGCACGGCCGATACCATGCCACACCAGCTTCGGATCCAAGGTGGTAACGTACTTGTTGTGATCCCTGGTCGGGCGCCCTTGTGCTTACGCTGTAAGCGCACAGGTCATATTCGACGAGAATGCAGGGCGCCGAAGTGCTCGGAGTGTTTTCGCTTCGGGCATTATGGCACCGAATGTGTCAGGTCGTACGCCAGGGTGGCCAGCGGGGCCGGGCCGGCCGAGGCCGAGACCAATGACCACGCCATGGATGCCGAGGAAGCGGAGCGTACTATCCAGGGCTTGGCGCCAGAAGTTTCAACCCCTGCCAAAGAACGCAAGAGTGAAGGAAGCAGCTCCTTGGGGGCAACGAGAGAGAACGGAGGTCAACCGGAAGGCGCACCTCCCAGCGGTGCCGACGTGAAACCCTCTGATGCCGGAGCAGACAAGGAATCGAACGACGCAAGCACCAACGGACCTTCAGATATGGACGACACCAGCGAGTCAACTAAGCGAGCCTTCGATGACGATACGACAGCAGGAAACGGAGCACGCCAACTACACCCCTGGATGGAACGCACGAAGAAGGGGCGTTACCAGCCCGCGCCCAACGATCCTAAAGAGGAACGTCGGCGCAGGGAAAGCAAGTAAGGCGTTCTTTGCCTGGTTTCCTGGTGTTTAAGATTGCTGCATCAAGACAACTTGGACCCTGACTGCTTAGGTTTTTAGTGTCTGCACCGAAGCACAGCGCATGATTTGTGAGTCCCAATCAGCCATTACAGTTGCAACGCTGAATGTTCGTGGTTTATGCACTAGAAAAAAGCAGTACCAAATACAGCGATTATTGTCGAAAGAGCAACCCGATTTCTTGGCGTTGCAAGAAACTAAATTGGCTGAGGCGGAACAGGTAGAGGAAGCAGTCAGGCCTTTTATGCCTAACTACGAAATCTGTGTGACGCATGCAGTTGGTCATTCGGCAGGGTGTTTCCTGCTTCTGAAAAAGTCGGTACCGTTGTCGCAGTTATGCGTTACAACGGACACTGAAGGACGTTTCATTATGTGTGATTTTGTGCTAACGTCAAATCAATTCAGGCTTATTTGCATTTACGCCCCAAATGTGACCACTGACCGCGTTTTATTTTTCGGCGGTTTACGTCGGTATCTTGATTGCGATAGAGCTCTAGTCCTTGTGGGTGACTTTAATTGTGTTGTACGACAGTTGGATAGATCGCCAATAAGACGGAACGCTGATAAGAGTGAACTACTTTTGGGCGAAATGTTGGAGGATTATGACCTGATTGATGTGGGCACTGTAAAAAACGCGAAGAAGGAAATGCGCTTTACCCATTTTCAAGCGTCGTCCAGTGCGCGTTTGGACAGGGTGTATGTTTCTGCCCCTCTAGCAGAACATTTAGGAAGGTACCGTGTCACTCCAGTCTTTTTCTCAGACCACAGTCTGGTTATCGCGACGATAGGCGACAGAGCACCTGAAAAGAAAAAGTTTAATTGGAACTTATGGAAACTAAACATAAAGCTTCTGAAAGACAACGTCTTTCTAAAAAATGTAGAACAGTTTTTGAAAGATGCTTTTAAAGAGCCGGGAGTGGACATTTTCGAGAAATGGGAACTGGCAAAACAAGAAATTAAGGCAATCGCCATTGAGAGGTCATCAATTCTTTCGTACAACGCCCGGTGTGAGGAACGCAGTTTAAACAAGGACTTGATAGAGCTATGTAAAGCAGAGTGCGAAAGACCCGGTAATGGGGTAAAAGACGTCGAGTATGTCAGAGAAAAATTAGATCAGCTCCACCGCGAGCGCTATCGTGGTGCAGTAGTGCGCGCCCGTGCAGAAAAATACACAATGGGCGAGCAGCCCACTAAGCGTGCCTTGGCAGACGAGAAGCGTTACGCACTTCGGAACGAAATAGCCGAAATTGAATTCAAGCAAATGATTACTACGGATCCCGAGAAAATAGCACAGGCCTTCCTCGAGCATTACGCACAGCTTTTTGCTAACAAAACGCAAGGGTGTCATACGGACATTTATGCCCAGCTTTTAGAAAAACTGCCAAGGCTATCCAATGATGAACGCGAAGAGCTTGAGCAAGAAATTACGATCCAAGAAGTGGAGCGCGCAATCGACGACCTGCCGAACTCTAAGACGCCGGGACCGGATGGATTGGGCGCAGAATTTTACAAGAACTTTAAGAGCCTAATAGCTAGTGTTTTTTTGAACGTCATACATACTGCCTATGAAAGAGAATGTTTGCCCTTTTCGTTTTCTCGTGCCTACACTGTCCTGATACCGAAATCTGATGACCCCGTGAAACTGCGCAGCGTCACCGGTTATCGCCCAATAACGCTATGCAATACCGATTACAAGATTTTCGCGAAAATTCTGGCGCGTCGTCTTCAAGGTGTCGCATGTGAGATAATAAGCGAGCATCAAACGTGTGGGATACAGGGGAGGACTATCTTGACAAATGTGCATGTGGCTCGTAGCGTCCTGGAGGCCTGCAGTGACAGCACCACGCAGGTTGCAGTGCTACAGATAGATCTAGATAAGGCATTCGACCGTGTTAGCCATGATGTACTCTTTGATGTTTTGAGTCATGTCAATGTTGGTGACGCCATCCTAAAAGGTGTAAAGATGGCCTATAAGGACTGTACAACAAGGCTTATAGTGAACAAAGAGCTCAGTTCTGTTATTAACGTACGAGAGTCGGTACGACAAGGTTGCCCTATGTCTCCCCTTTTGTTTGATTTGTATTTAGAGCTTTTCTGTTTAAGCGTAAAAAATAGTCAACGCGTCCGAGGTTTCCAATTTTATAATGCAGAAGTCAAAATAATGAGTTACGCCGATGACATTGCTGTTTTTTGTAGGGACAAAGAAAGTGTTACCGAAGTCATAACTTTGGCTAAAAGGTTTTGCCACGCTACTGGTGCTGTTATAAACTGGGAAAAGTGCCGTGGTTTCTGGCATGGTGCTTGGGCCACTACACCCTCAGAATTTGAGGGTGTATGCTGGGACACAGTGCCGTGCAAGTACCTCGGGGTGCCATTGCAAAGTTTCCGGAATAGCCAAACGTACTGGTCGGGTGTCGCTATCGACCTGGACAGGCGTGCTTCTCGTTGGAAGCAACGCGAGCTGTCCATTTTTGCCCGAGCGACTGTTTGTAACGTTTTTCTGATTGCGAAGCTCTGGTATGTTCTTCAGGTCATCCATTGTGCGCGAACCAATGTTCAAAAATTTCATCGAATTTTCGCCACGTTTATTTGGAACTCGAAGTATGAGCCGATGAGACGAGACAATCTTTTTCATCGCGTTTGTAACGGTGGCGTGGGGCTTTCCCACCTTTTTGTCAAGCAACTTGTGTCGCGCTTCTTTTTTTTGAGAGACCAGGAGCACCCGTTCATTCGCACTCTGATTCAAACAAAAGTGTCACCACATTTGCCATCTTTTCTTGTTTCTTCTCATGGCGGCGAGCCAACAAGAATCACTGGTTTTTTGAAAGAAGTTGTTGACACGATGGGGTTTCTGACAGCACGTTTTTCTTTGAATTACCTTTGTGATGTCAGTAAAAAAGCGCTCTATCGCGATTTAGTTGTGAGTGTTTTCCCTATGCCCTTGTATCGAGGTGTGTCCCAACATGGCCACGATGTGCTTAGACGTGTAAAAAGGATGTGTGTTCCCGCGGCTGTTAAGACTTTTTTTTATAAATTACACACGAATACCTTGCCAGTTAAGGTTTGGCTTAAAGAAAGAGGGATCTATGTGCCATGGTCGGTAAATTGCCTTCTATGTAAAAAACCTGAGACTATTGAACATGTGTTTATTTTTTGTTGGGACGCGGTATTTTTCTGGGATGTCCTCCAACGCACTCTAAAGAAAGAATTACCTGTTACCCCAACAGGGATACGTTTCCTTAGAGTGGATAATGATAATGAAGTCCCTTATGACATGATTATGTTGTTAGCTTTGTGCAGCATTTGGAGATCACGTATGGCTGTTCGACATGCTGACCTCGACGCAAAAGAAGTGCGGATATATTTCTTCAACCTTGTAAAACAAGTACAGAGTGTGTATCTGAACTGTGAACCTGAGCCGGAGTGGACTAGTATTTTAAAATCACTCCTCGAAATGCGTGATTTTTAATACGCTGTGCAAAAAAGCTGTGCAGTGCTGTTAGAATGACATGAATGTTTTTGTAACTACCATGCAATAAAGAAAAAAAAAAAAAATACCCCAGTAGCTCAGTGGGAAAGACGTCCGCTTCACACGCGGTAGGAACGGGTTCAATTCCCCGGAAAACATTTTTTTTTTTCAGAATTTTTTGTTGTTTACATATCTTTTTCTTTTTTTTACAATCATCACTGAGGAAACAAACAACAAAATAACAAACAAATGTTGTGGACGATACTTCGCTGAATTAAATGGTATGGGATTTCCGTTTTGACACCTGCGAACTCAATGTAATCACTTTCCACAAAATGCAAGGAACATATAAATCAGGTAGCGTCCGCTTTCCGAGGTGCCCGTATATGTTCTACAGGAATTGCAGCCAGTCATTGGTTCCGATACCGTTGATCTTTCGGAAACTCTGTCGCAGAATGCCACTTTTTTTCGGATGCAGGACATGTCGAGCCAGCTCTTCACGCAACATCTTGGGTGTATTCTTTTTGGAGTCGATCATGGAAATTCAGCACGGGCACTCACTACTCATCTCCAACTCCTCAATGTACAAAACAACTCATCTTGGAGTACAGAACAACGAGCGGAACAAACATAACTGCAAAAGAATCGCACGCCACATGTCGTGTCGTCTGCTACCGGAGAGGAGAAAAAAAGAAAAGCGCGCGGTCGGGTGTAGCCACGTGACTTCCGCCACCCAATCTCTTCTCTCCACTTCTCCGACCTCCGTCGGGTTTCGGTTTCGGTTTCGAGCAGTTGCGTCTTTTGGCTTTATTAAAAAAATACGTTACTATGTTGCAAAATATTAATTGGGTAGTCCTCTGACACCATAATGAAGCGTCTGGCAAAAAATAAAAAAACATTTTTGGGGGGTGTCAGTGTCCCTTTAAAGAAGTATTATTCAAAATACGAATCCATTAAAGTACATCCTGATCAATATTAAGTTCGCTGAGCTTATGGAGTAGTAGGTTATGTCACTTATGTGACACTTCATCGAAAGCTTTAGCCAAATCAAGGAAAATACAATACACCTCAGAAACACGATAAGAATAAGGTGAAGGTCATTACTGAAGGTAAGTAGCTGGGTTTCACACGAAAACGATTAGGTGCTAAACGAGGTGAGAAAAAAGTAATATGCTCAAGCATTTTACACAGAATGTTTGTTATGGAAATGGGACGGTAATTGAGGGGAGAATGATTATCACCAGTTTTATGTACAGGCACCACTTTACCCGCCTTCCAATCGTCAGGTAAACAGCCTAGAGTAAGTGACTGCTCAAATAATTTAGATAGTATCATCGAAGTAAAAATTTGAATTTAATTTCGTCGACTCCTGCGGAGCAGGGTATTTTTATACACTTGTTTGAATTAAGATGGGCTACATAAGCGGGAAAGCACGTTGTTGAAGTTGAGGTTAAGTTAAAAAAAAAAAAAGAAAAGAAAAATAGAACTAAAAACATTTGTACAGTCATCGGAAAAAAACAGGTTCATTTTATAAACTTAATGGAGACAGTACGTGTGGTGTCTTTTGTTGCCGTTAATCGCACTCCTCTGTCTATGCTGGAAAAAGCGATGAAGAAACTTCATCGTGACGTCGCCGGTGGGAGGAGCCTAATCTCAATCGGCGGCGAACTCAACTGGCAGGGAACTTCATCGCGGCGCGTTGATGACGTCGACGGAGAGTGGCGATTGAGTTGAAACTTCATCGGGATTTGTCCCCAAAATATGTCCCTAGAGGGAAATGCGCAACGCCGCATCGAAGG